AATGCATATACTACGGAGAAACAACACACAACTATCAAGAGTGCCCCAAAATAAACGACGCGACAAAAAAATGCTTAAATTGTGAAGAAAATCACTTACCAACAGATAAAAACTGCAAAGTTAAAAAAATGGAACAAGACATTCTAACCACTGCAACCAAAAGAAAGATTTCAATAAAAGAGGCAAAATTAATACATAATCAATACAACAATAATTCCAAAAGATTCATATTCTCAGACTATCCTGAAATGAACGAATCTCCAACCCCCCAAGAACTCCATGTACAAAATGCAAACACAAAAAAAAATAACTTAACTCCGAAAAAAACGGTATTACATTCTCCGAAAAAAACTTACTCTAACATCCTACAAACCAAAAACACACAGGATGACCTTAGAAAAAAACACAACGAACTCCTCATTTCTCCTAACGGCAACTACGACCTAAACCCAAATCTTACAACATTCAATGATCATCCAATCTCCCCAACTCCACCACTCGAACCCTTAACTACATCACGAATTTCCATGTACGACGACACCTATCTATTTAAAAATCAATATGCTATTTCACATGATTTTATAATACAATATCTAAATTCAGACCAAAATTTTCATAATTTATTAAATGAAAACATTGAAACTACATATAATCAAATAGATAGAGAATCACAAATGCAAAATTAAAATAATTACCAAAAATAAAAATCAACAATTTACTCTTCTAACTCCCAACAAAATATACTTCAACATCCTATCAACACAATTAATATATATTTATTATTTTAACAAACAATGCTAAACACTAAACAAGAAGTACATCAACTTAAAATACTTCAATGGAATTGTCGAAGTATCTGTAATAAATTATACCTCCTAAAAAATATTATCAACTCTTATGACATTATCCTGCTCTCAGAAACCTGGCTAAATGATAAATCCTATATCAACATCCCTAACTATCATATTATAAGAAAAGATCGAACAACAGGAGAACATCTATAAATACATATCTATAAATAATACAAATAAAGAAAACTCTATACTAATAATATCAACTTATAGAATCCCATCTACCCAAACTACAATAGATACCTGGTCACAACTTTTAAGCTCAACCTCTAACTATAAACACACCCTCATCGGCGGGGATTTAAATGCCCACCACTTTACCTGGGGCGCAAACAAAACTTGTAAATCAGGAGAAAATCTCATCGATGCACTCATCGACTCAGACTTATCCATAATCAATGACGGCTCTCATACTTATTTCAATAACCAAGAAGAATAATTTTTCTCATCTCCTATAGATGTCACAATAATCTCAACCAATATTCTCAACTCTACCACGTGGAAAACTTACCCAAACCACATGAATAGTGACCACCTCCCAATAGAAACCACTATCTCCATAACCCACGAAAGACCTCCCACCAACATTACACATAAAATAAACTACAAAAACATCAATTGGAGTCATTACTCAACTTATATAGACAAATTTATAGAAAACAACTCAGAAACAATAAAAGAATATCATGAAGAACAAAAATACAATCTACTAACCAACCTTATCACTTCAACAATAAAACTATACAAAAACAACAAAAATAAAAAACATACCAATAACAACTATAACATCAATTTAGAATATAATACTTCAAACATCAATTCAATAAACAACTTATCAGATTATAAACAACCATCAATTACAAAAAAATTTAAATCCCAAACACCCAAAGCACCATGGTGGGACAACAACTGCTCAAAATTAACAAATGAAAGAAGAAAAGAAACCAAAAACTTCCTTAAAAACCCCACGTATGAAAACCTCAAATTACTAACAAAAACAGAAACACGTACTAAAAATCAACTTAGAGACATCAAAAGACGGAAATTCCAAGAATTTGCTGAAAAAAAGATCTCGATAGACACGAATATAAAAGAACTATGGAACACTATAAACAAATTCAAAAACATCAACAACATTAACAACATAAAATATCCAAACAACGACACCGAAGTAATAAATAATGCAAAAAAATTCATTAAAGAATTCTCCTCATCCCCAAACACATTCCCTTCTCACCCACCAACATATAATCATATAGAACAACACACAAATGAACAAAAAGATCTTGACTCTCCTTTCAATATAGACGAACTAAATTTATCCTTGAAAGCAACTAAAGAAGACTCCACACCTGGCCTTGATCAAATAGACTACAAAATGTTAAAAAACACCCCACTATCTTTTAAAACGTTACTTCTATCTTCACTAAATAACTACTTTGAAAATGGTATTTTTTCATGATATTTGGAAAAACTTTTTAATAATGCTAATACCTAAAAAATCCAAAAATAAATTTCGCCCAATATCATTAGCCTCATGCATACTGAAATTAACAGAAAGATTAATCAACACAAGATTACATCATTACATTGAAAAAAATAATCTCTTAACAGAATCTCAATACGGCTTCAGAAAAAGTAAATCTTGTCAACATGCATTAACCCACCTAATTACTGATATTCATTTAGCAAACAACAACAATCAAAACACCTTTTGTACTTTTATTGACATAAAATCAGCTTTTGACAATGTCTGTTCTAATATACTCGACAAAATCTTACTTAAATTAAAAATCCCCAAAAAAACCAGATGCTTCATCTACAATCTAATTACCAATAGATCTCTTCTCTTCAAAATCGGTAATAATCTGTTTGGACCACATTCCAAAAGTATAGGAGTTCCTCAAGGATCTGTATTAAGCCCCCTGCTATATAATCTATATGTAAATGAATTCTCACAAATCATACCTTCCAACGTAAAATTAATCCAATACGCAGATGACACTATTATATATACTTCTATTCCAGATATCAAACAATCAATAAACATATTAGAAAACACTCTTGAACTCATAATCAACTTCTTCCAACAATTAAAATTAACTCTTTCAGCTGAAAAAACAATATTTATTATCTTTACAAAAGCTCCCTATTCTGCTATTAAAAATTACTCTCTACTAATAAATAACACTCCCATATACCCATCAAAAAAAGTCAAATATTTAGGACTGTATATTGACTACAATCTTCATTGGAATGATCACGCAAACTACATAATAGGAAAAAGCTTAAAACTACTAAACATAATTAAAGTACTTAAAGGAACATGGTGGGGCAGCCACCCACAAATATTACTAAAAATTTATTCAGTTATTATTAGAAGCACCATAGAATACAGCCTCTACCTAACACACATAAATAACTCAACTCTTCTTATGAAAATACAAAAAATTCAAAACAGTGGAATAAGACTATCTCTAGGATGTAGAATTTCTACACCAATAAATGTCCTACATGCTGAATCCAAAATCTTCTACATCAAAGAAAGACTTCAACATCTAGCTGATAAATTCATACTAAAACTAATTTCATCTCAAAACTCATCAATCTTAACCAACTTAAAAAATTTAGATCACGACCTAAAACAAAAAGACAAATTTAAAATACAAAAAACCTTTATCCCAATAGAAACATGGAGAAATATAACAAACTTAACATTTAACAAAATTGTAACTCATGCACACCCTATCCCTTTCGATTACAACTATCACGCTACCATAAAAAAAAATCTCATTGATACAACCTCTGGAAAAAATATAAAATCCTCAAATAATCCTCTGCAAGAATTCAACAAATTATTTAATACCGAAATAAATTCTAATCTAACTTTTTTCACTGATGCCTCTAAAATTAAAACCTCTTCACTCTCTGGCCTTACCATCTATAGCCCAACAACAAATTTAAAGCTTCAATATAAAACCTCACTTCCAGCTTCTATCTTTACACTCGAAGCACTAGCAATCTTCCTAACTATACATGAAATTAAAAAAATAAAACCAAATAAAACATACTCGTATATCTTCTCTGACGCCCTCAGCGTCTTATTAGCCATCTCCAACTACTCACCCATTAAATCAAAAAACACATCACATATAATTCTTGATATCAAATCCCTCCTACATGAATGTGAACTTCTAGGCATCCAAATAATACTTATCTGGATACTAATATCCCATACTAATATCCCCCACAACGATACAGTAAATTTTTTAGCAAAAGAAGCCATTCTAAAAGGAACAAATCTAATCACCCAGCTTCACTATACCGACTTTCTACAACAAATAAAAAACAACCACAAAAAATCACACAATGAATTTATCACTAACCAAAGTCAACAAAAAGGCTCCCATTACTTCAAATACTACTTCCAAAAAGAAAATCCTAGACCATGGTTCTCCAAAATAAACTATCCAAGAAGACATCTAATAACAATTATAAGAATCCGATCAAATCATTATAATCTAGCTGCCAGCTTACACAGGAAAAATATGACCAATTCTCCTTCGTGCCCATGCGGATATACATCACAAGACGCAAATCATATTGTATGGGACTGCCCCAATTACCACCTACAAAGATACACATTAAAAATTAAATTAAAAAAATACTATGAAAAGAAGAAAAAACAACCCCCAACATCCATCGAGGAAATATTAACTAATCCAAATGAAATAACATCCAAATTCATAACAGACTTTTTAAAACAATGCAACCTATTTATATAACTTTACTTCCTCCAAAATCTTTTTATATACCGAACTTAACTCTTTACATCCACACTATTATACCACAAATTCAAAACACCTATTTTACCGACAACTAAAATCAATCATTACTATACCCTTCCTACACATATACCTTATAAAATAATTCATACACTCTCCCTACTCTTCTTCTCCTACCCTTTTTACCAATAAAAACTTTAAAATACTTTTAAATTTCAAATTTTATCTCTCAAATTTGAATTGTGGCGCATCGGAGTCCTCAGGTACCCACAGCCATTAAAACGAAACGAAACGAAACCACCGCCATCTAGTAAACTTAATAAACTTCGATTTCGATTACTAGTTCTAAATGAATCGAGTTAAGTTTAATCTATGGCTCAATTAATTGATTCGATAATCGATTAACCCCGGAAATAATCGAACGATTATTAAAAATCGATTAAAATCGCCCATGGCTACATCAAATTAGGATCGAGAATCAATATGACAAGTAGTGATTGACCTGAACGGTTGCCAAATTTTCAGGGTTATCAATTGTTGACGATTATATTATGTACATGATAAGCTTGTGATTGCTATTTACTTTTAATCCTTCAATAACATTCGTTTGTTAATTTAAATAAGAAAACAAACTACGCACGAATTTTCCAAGAAATGTGAGTGATATTTCTAAATTAACCTAAAACTTTCGTAAATTCTATTATAAATAATTACAATTTACATTACGAATAAGTAATCAACAGTGTATTTGATTTGTAATTTCTTTTTGGAATTATTTATTATAAACTTTGATAATATAAGCAGTAAATACAATATTTGTTATCAATCTTACAAATAGTTTTGAAGTTATTTTAGCAATACTTTTACAATGTATGTTTAGAAGCTTTTATATATTTTTAGATATGCTTTATCACTTAGATATTTGCAAATTCCATTTTCTACAATACAATAAAAAATTATTTTACATTCTAATGTGTTAACTGCATAAAGAAATTAATACTCTTTTGTAAGACAACAAATAATAATAAATCTGAATGTATATAATTCTGAATAAATATTACATAATTTATAAAAAACAAAAAGTTATGAATCAACCATTTTTTGTATATTATTTAGTTAACTTAAGATGACTATATACCCTATATAAAATTCACTTGACAAATAATGGAGCATTTATTGTTATTTTATAATTGTTCAAATATTAAAAGATATTTCTTGATTTATTATGCAATTATTATTGTAAGTAATAATTCTTGTTTAACCTAGTTCTGCTAACACTGAATCTAGATCTTCTTGTAAAGAAATGCTTTCCTCACGTTGTTTTGCTAAATCATCTTTAAGGCGATCAACTTGTGCTTTCAACAAGTAATTGCCTTTCTTCAATGCTGCTAATCGACCTTCATGTCTTTTTACACAGTTCTGAAATAATTAAAATAAATTATCTATGACATGAAAACAGTTTAATAAAAATTTATGAAATTTTAAATTAAAACTATTCACCTGTAATTTTTCTTTACGTTTTTCTATTGGAGCATTTTCATCATCAGTTTTAAAATCATCTTCTTCTGACTCTTCGGATTCAGATTCTTCTTCTGATTCAGTTTCTTCTTCTTCTTCTTCTTCATCTTCCTCATCCTCTTCTTCATCATTTTCTTCGTTATCTCCAGCCATTAATTTTGCCATTTTATCAACTTCTTTTTGTAAACCTTTAAATTTTTTGTTTTCTTCTTTCAACAGGTTTTGTTGTTGTTTAATTTGTACTTTCAGTACTTGTCTCTCTTTTTTGGAATTAATAGTTTTGTCTCTGTAAAAGAAGTATAACATTCGTTTATATCTCTTAAGTTATATATTTCATTTATTATTTTATTTTTGAAAAAAATGGTATTTTTATAACCATAATCAGTAATTTTGAGCAAACAGGACTCTCTGTGCATTAAAAAATATATCTTGTTACAAGAGATTTTTATTTGGAGCTACATTGAGATGAAAATCATCTTAAAACAATAAAAAAAATTCTCTTATTACAAGAATTTTTAATATATTGAAAAAATATATTACATTCCAAATTCAAAATTAATATTACAAAGGTATTATTTGAATCATTTTATTTACTAAAGACACCACAGTTACTAACTTGAAATTTTTAACTTTTATTTTCATTAATTTAATTTCTCTGAGTTGACGTTTTTCCTCTGCATTTTTTTGATCATCTTCCTCGCTTTCTTCCTCAGAATATTCTTCCTCTTCTTCACTTTCTTCCAGATCAGTTTTTTCCATACTTTTTTGAGATGCTATTTTGGCTACGTCTTTGGCACTTGGACATCCAGCCAAAGCCATTCCTAAAAAATTCCACCATGATTCAAGTGTATTATCTGTCAGTTCTATAATTAACACATTCTTACTTTCAGAACTATTAAGGTCAGTCTTGCTGTTAACTTGATCATTAGTTTTAACTTCGATAATGTATTCGTGTTTATTCATTAGTCAGATTCTGATTCATAATCAGATTTTAATTCATAATTTGATTCAGACTAATACGTCTTCTAATATCTTATTTATAATGGCTTATTTCTTTATGATGCAGTTATGATGCATAATGATTAAAAAATTGTATGTATTATTTTGAATAGAAAATTTATGAATAATTTACGTAGGTGACATAGCTAGCTATTTAACAAAATGTATAGTACTTTCTAGCTTGTTTTATTAATAAATCAAATGAAACACTTGTATGTTATATTACTATATTATTACATTTATACTATGTTTATTATTTGTTATAAAATAAAATCTGATTTCTTATCAAATGTAAATAATAGTGACACAATGTATAAAATATACATGCAAATAAGCATATTGGAATGAAAATATTCCATTTATTGGTGGTTATTTGGGTTATTGGGTATTAAATCAAATGAATCTCATGCAACTCGTATAATTTTTCTATCCCATGAAGGAACATACCAACTTTCATACGTTTTTCAAGATTAGCAAATTTTGCCTTCATTTCTTCAAGTTCAATTTTAGCTTTATCTCGTTCTTCAGCCACGATAGCAAACTCTTTCTCAAGTCTCTCAGCATCTTGTCTAGCGTCTTTGGCTTCCTTTTTTAACGAATTGGCAAGCTTTTGATCTTGCTGTTTGTATTCTTGAACGGTTTTTTGTGAACGTTCCCGCTCCAACTCTACTTCAAGGTTCAGAATTCTTGCCTGTGATTCAAATTGGTCACGTTGAAGCTTCTGAAGCTCGAGTACTTCGGGATTATTATCGAAGGGGCTCTGTAATTTTACATTAATCTAGCTATCCGAACACTTCTTTTGATTTTGCGATTTTAGCATTTTGCTCACATATTTCGCTCCGCACTATAGTACTTTATCTTCATAGAACAAAGTCGATGGTCCAGTTTAAGATTTTTTGCAAGTGAATAATTCTACTTCATGAAAATGTTAGATTAGTATGTTGAATAGAGTGTGGATTTAAAAAAGTATTACTAAAAAAGCTACAATATAAGAAACCTTTTCAAATGCAAAAGTATGAAAAAGCAGCCTGTTGTACAGAGTGAGTGGTGTTTAAGAATTATGTAACAAAATTGTTTTTTAAATACATGATTATATATTTTACTAAAAATTCTTAAGATTGGATACTGCTAGTGTCAATAATTCGAAGAAAAACTCAAACACTTTTAGTCAAATGCTGTTATAAATAATACTCTTTCATATTTATCGTTTTCGTAATTCTTATTTAAAAAGTATACTTTTATAATGGTGTGTCTATTTGACAGTTTATAAAAATATCACTATGAAAACTAAGAAGAGGTAGTAAATGTTATTAAAATGAAAAGTAATGATATGACATTTGTTGTAACTTTCACGGATACGCGGAATGTAATATACCTGTAGCCTCCTGTTTTCTCTTTCTAAGGCCTCTTTATTTCTGAGTTCTAATGCCAGCATTTGTTTAGTACTTTGAAGATCATCGCGAATGGCATCAATGTCATCCATTTCATCCGGAACCTCTTCCTCAATAGGCGCCTGCTCAGCTTTCTGTATCTGTTCTTCGATTGTCAGCTGTCTTCTAAATTTTCTTAAGCCTTCAAGTATAGGCTTAGATCTATCATTGGTAATGACTTTTTTAAGCTTTACGCCTTCTTGAATTTGTTTCAATAATTTATTATGCGGATTAGATTTTTCAGAGTCAAACACAAAGTGTTCACTGCCTACAAAACAAATTATATGCACGTAAGACAAGAGTATCAGATATTTGGAATATTTGGAGACTATTGGAGATTAAAAGCTCGAGAGGTATTTAAAATTTACCAGCTGGGTCATCGGCAACTTTGGTAACCTTAACTCTTTCGATGATAGGCGCGCTTCTGTCGTTACACGTGACATGCCGAAGCTTTTTACCGCTTTCCACTTCTTTCATCATGCAGGCCCAGTCTGGTCTTTTACGTGGCCGTGACTTCAGCATTTCCAGAGTTTTTTGTTGTTTGTCACTAAGAGGTGGTAGGTCTTTTAGTACAGTTCTTGCGGGAGGTGGAGGTGGTGGCCTTGGTGGTGGGGGTGGTGGTACGTTAGCCCTTGACGCACTTTTTGATAGTGTGGGGGCTCCTTCATCGATAATCATTAAATAGATGTTTGTTGACGGTATGTCAATATGATTCACAGTTTATTGCTGTAAACTTAAACGGAAATACTTGCCAGTTGTGCTTTCGCTTTTGGACAGAGCAATATGATCGCTGCGAGACCTCGATTTATCCAAGCGGGTCTGGCGTTCGAGCTGTGGTCTCGAAGTTGGCTCCGTTCGTCCGTTTTTCTGAACGTTTGACGGGGCTGCCGTTGCTGTTTGACCTGTATTCTTTTCGTTCTTATTTTGTTGCTGTTGTGATGGGATAATCGTAATTTTGCTCGACTTACGACCTTCTCTCGAGGATGATGTTGACGAACTGATGTCAGCTGGCTTTACATCTGTCGATTTCGATACGCTCTAAACAACCAAAAATTCTTATTAATTTATTTTATTTAGTTTATGTTTTATAATTTTTACTTCTGTAACCGTTACAAAGAATTATATATTCGGACAACAAATCAGCACTATAGTTTTTGGATGCTTTATTCAAGAGTTATTTATTCATTTTCACTCAAATAAATGATGTTAACGATTTTTCATTGAATAATATCTTTTTAATAAAAAAACTATTGAAGATCCAGTCAACTCTAGATTTAAACTTTTACCTATACCGGCCCATATCGTGAATAATCCAGAACATGAATTTGATTGGGAGAATGCAAAAATCATGCATTTAGAAGCTAATTACAGAAAGAGATGCATCGCAGAGTCGGTGTATATTAAAATTACGGATAATACCATCAATTCACAGGAAGACACAAAATATTTAAACAATCAATACTCAAGAATACTCAACATCATAAAATCTACTTAGTTTCAGTACGAAAAATAAACATAGTTATTACAATACATCACTAATTCCCTTTCCTTCCAGTGTTTCCCCCACTCGTCAAGTACACTTTTTCTCTTGTTGTGTCTCTCGCTGTCTTTCTCTTTTATTTCATATACAGTACGATATGTCATTATATACATAACAGTTACTTAGCTTTTAATTTGCTGATCATGATGTGTTTTTACCCAATTGACAAACTATATTTTTACCTAACTGACAAAAGATTGTTATTCTATTTTTATATTTATTATTAGACAGAAAAATTAATATTTATTTAATTAAAAGTGTAATGTTTATAACAGACCATGTATGTGCGGAAGAACTCTTAATTTATTCAATTTTATCTACATTACAAAACGTATGTTTATATTATAATACAATATTAATATTGAAAGAATTCATTTATTTATAATAATATATATATTCAACAGATGTACTGAGGTGGCAATAAATAAAATTGCGAAACGTTTATAATAAAATAAGTGTTTAGTTTATTTATAGGGACGACTCCTAAGATCAAGATTACTAATATAATTATCAAACATCAGGAGTGGAAAAAATTAACAATAATTTATATTGAATAATATCATTTTAATGACTAGTATAAGACAGTGTCAGTCGTTTGGTGATATAATCTCCGGCTCTTTTTAGTTAAAAAGTAAGCGACATGACTAGCAAAGTTAGACATACTCATGTGTATGACTATAAGTTATGGTCGAATCTGTTGCGCATACTAGTTGATAAAGTATATTGTTTGATAGAAAGTCATTAACATCATTTATTTGTTTTTTTTATTCAACTTACAGAATAACTCCTTTACATATCATCGATTCGCTTGCAACACTGAAAAAACTTTCATACGTGAAAAAAAAATTAAGATACTACAAAATCATGCATTTTAATATTGTTTTTTTGTCTGTCATTATTTTTGCTAAAACGAGAAAAGGTGAATCACATTGTTAAGCCGTTTAAAATTTCAACTATAATAAAATTATATAAGGATTTTTTATTTATACTTATTTAAGATTCCAAAGACTAATTTTGAACAAAATAATAATAATCATAATAAATTTAAGCGTAATCAATTTTCTCAAAACTTTTCTAAATATTTAAATAAATCTTAAACCGTCAACGCAAAAATTTCCTTCAACTAAAAATCAGTCTACGCAGTAGAAACTTTCTTAAAGAGATTATGAGACATTCAATAATGTTTATGTTCACGTCAAAGAAAATTTATCAAATCCTTTGATTATTTCAGCGTTACTCTTTTGTTCTGTAATTTTAAAAATGAACATCATAGTAGTTTTTACGATAGATTTTATCTGTATACTAATGAAATACTACCTTTAATAGTTTCTAAATGTTCCTTCATTGAAAAAGTACAATATAAAATTGACAATTAGAAAAATTAGTTATATGCCATAGTATAGTCATACATAGGTTTGTCATGTCATATCATATCATATCACATTATATCGTATCAATTCATATCTCATGTCATATCTGTTTCATAGTTATTTATTTTCACTCACATAAATGATGTTAACGATTTTTTATTGAATAATATAACTTTAATGACTAGTTATAAGACAGTTTCAATCGTATATCTATATTTGGCGTGTGGGCGATTTTATTATACATACAAATTATAATGTACAGTAACAAGACGTAATAATTGATACACGCTGATGCACGCCATGTTATTGTGGAAAATAGTTTATGTGTACAATAAAGCCGTGCAAAATTGTCTACATACCGTATATCTTAGCTATAAAAATCTGAAATCTTCAAAAATGTAAGAGGAAGGTAAATGATTTCATTTCTATTCATAAGTGATAGTAATATATTTTATACTAAATAGTAATATATGATCTTAATGAATAATCTATCATATGTTCTATAAGTTTTTATATTAATTATTTTTGAAAAGATTAAATATTTCAAACTTTTGCCTTTGTGAGATTTCAGATTAACTTTTCGTAGGAATATTTATAAAACTATTTAGGTTTTATAATAATTATTCTTTTCAATTAACTTTATAGTCGACGATGCTTTTACTTTCAGTGATCTAGTGCTGATCACGCATTGTGCGTATTTAGATATATTTGATAGCTACCAACGGCAACTGTTGGCTCATTTGTTGTGTAGGATGGGCATGAAAATTACATGTAAAATCAGATTGTATATATATGTGTGTGTGTATATACAGGGTGGGCCATTTTAACCTATAGTGGAAAATATCTCAGATGCTTGTGCACATACGAAAAAATGTTTCAGACAAAAGTTGGAAGGGATAATGGGGGACATTTACGGGTACCAATGACTTTGACCTGAAGTCGGTTTTGAAGGTTATTTCAAGGTCAGAGTCATTTTTTTGAATGGAACCACTTATTTTTGACTCCGGATTTGAAAAGAGCGGGAAATTTTACGTTCAAAATAATATTTTTATCAAGGTCATTGGTAAGGGCAAATAAATGTCAAATTTGAGGAAAACGTTAAAAAACTGATGTAAGCTTGGAATGCACGTTGACAACGGCACCTCTGGTTTTGAAATCTGGATCCGAAAAAATTAATAAGTCAAAAACTCAAGAACCCAATAGCCCAATAACCTAATAACACAATTTTTTTTGAGAATTTTTTATGGTAAGATCGCATACATTTTAGTAAACATGTTGAAGTAACTTGAAATACATTGTTGTAAAATGCAAAGTAAAGTTCTTATTTTTAAATTTTAATTATTCAAAACCTGGACTAGCCAAGTATCAATTATTACCACTGTCTATTCAGCACTAATCTCCTATTTTTTGCTCTTATCAGGAACAACGACGTAAACGTAATAGAAATATGTTCCCTTTGGGGTGTATGATTTAATTGAATCCTTTCACTGTTCAGGGTGCTTTATTTCAGTGAGTCCCCTTGCCTCTCACTATTCAGGGTGCTTTATTTCAGTAAGTCCTTTTGCCTCTTACTATTCGGGGTATTTTATTCCAGTGAAGCATTCTTAATTTTACGTTTGACCATTAAGTAAATGCTCAAACTGAGCGCCATTAGCTTTAATGCACAATTGACATCTTCTCAAAAAATCTGTTAAAGTTGAGAGAAGAACATTTCGTGGAATTGCTGCACAAGCTCTTCGTATGCGTTCCATCATGTCTTCTCGTGTCGTTGGTTGTTGCTCATAACAAGTATTTTTTAGGTATCCCCAAAGATAAAAATCAGGTGAAGTTGAGTCAGGCGAATTAGGGGGCCATGTAATGGGCCCTCCACGTCCAATCCATTGATTTATGTATCGTTCATTGAGATAATTTCTTACTATTCGAGCAAAGTGTGGTGGTGCACCATCTAATTGCACCCACATTCTTCGTCTAGTTTCCAAATCAACATCTTCAAGTAAACCAGGTAAATGGTCTCTCAAGAATTGCAAAAAATTGTGTTGATTTACATTAGCGTAAAAAAAGTAAGAGCCAATTAAATCAACTCCCAAAATCAGTTTTTTTAATATTTCTCAGCATCAAATGAATATTTTTCAGTAAACTCAACGTCAAAAAATTTCTTATAAAAAGGCGCTTTTAAGGACATAACATTTATACCGAAGGGTTGCAACCCTCTTTTTAATAGGGGAAAATACACTATTTTTTGTACTGTTTTACGACATGTAATATAGTAAATCAGCTCGAGTGATTTAAAAATCGCACTGATAATGAGAAAATACCAAAATTAAATGGACGTGTTTCCGGATTTAAAAAAAAAATGTTTAAGGGGTGTTTCACCCCCTAGAAACCACCCCCGTCAAACTATCAGCAGGTTAATCCACCTAATCTTGGGATAAACAAATTTAGTCGTTTGTTATTTCTTGAAATAATTTAATCCTATGCATGAGCGAGCTACCTCAACTAACCAACCTGCCTCTAACCCACCAAATCCCCATAAACCACCCTTACCGAACCACATGCAGGCTAACCCACCCTAATCCTGGGAAAAGCAACTTTAGTCATTTGTTATTTCTTGAAAGAATTGAATTTTACACCATAAGCGAGTTATCCCAGCTAAATCATATACCTCTTATCCACCTACCCCTAACTTATCTAACCCCCACCCTTATAAACCACCCTTACCGAACCACATACTGGCTAACCTTATATAAATAGCGAAAAATAAATGTATTTCTTGAATAACATTCATGTTGCATAACAATATGTCCCAATTATTACAAATTTTATGTAATAATTATTATTTTCTTTTCGTTATAAATACAAAAAAGATAAAAATAATTAATAACGGCTTATAAATATAAGATTTGAGACTAAAATAAATTATAAATAATTATTAACTATTTTGTTTTTTCGAAATTAATAATAACAGTTGTAGTATCAGTTATTTTTTAAATATTATTTGCATTGTATTACATATAGCTGTGTATAAAAGACTAATAATAATAGGTATTATTTTTTAAACGTAAAGTTAATTCGTAATAAAGAAAAATAACAAGTAATAACAGTTAAAATTTATTAATTTCAAAAGTGGA